CCCCCTCTTCCTCACCCCTGCTTGGCCGAGGGATGCCCCAGGAAGCGCCTTTCTCTTCCCAGGAGCACAGGGGAGGCACAGGGCTGATGAACCTTTTACCCCAAAAATTTAATACGCAGCTGCAGGCTGAGCCCAACGCCGACGGTGCCAGCACTGCCACCTCCTGCTGCTTCACTGAGCCGGCTCCCAAAGTGGTCCTGCACACTGCCACCTTCCCTAAACTACTTTTATTCTTTTGCTTTTATCCTCTTCCTTCTGAATCCTCTCAGGGGAGGGCATTTTTCATGTTTGAGGGAGGAAATCAGTTGCCAGTTTCATTTGGAGCGAGGTGGAGGAAGAACTGCAGTGCTGCCAGCTGCTCTCCAGTCCCAGAGGCAGTGGGGCTGGAGGTGTTTGCTTTGCAGGCTCCAGCATCCCAGCAGGGTGGGTGTGCAGAGATGGACTTTCATGCTGGAGTCCTGCTCGCTGCCATTTTTCGGCAGGGGACAGATGCAGTCAGCGTGAGGTTAATGATTGATGAATAGGAAAGTGCTGCTGCAGGTGAGCAGGGAGAGCACGGCGTCGGGAAAGGCTGTGCTTAGGGAGCCCAGCGTCGGTCCTGGCTCCTGCCTGCCCAGGTGTGGAGGTGCCGGAGCACCCGGGGAGCCTGGACTGAGCGTGTTTGCTTAGCAGGAGGGGAAAAGGCACCATGTTTGCTTTGGTGTCTGCAGTGGGCAGGGTTCTGGGCATCGACAGGAGAGAGTCCCGGACACGCAGGGTTTGCCCAAGCCATGCATCAGCCCTCGGGCTGGGCACACCCGGGTCAGGGGCAAAACGTGGGCGGTGGAGGCTTCGTGCGTTTGGGAGCTGCGTGTGGCCGGTTCTCCAGGAGCCTCCTGGACTGGGAGATCGCTAGGGGCTGGCTGGGAGACATCTCTTCTTGCTGCGGTACCTGCCTTCCCACCAGCTCTCCTCTTCTGCTCTCCCCATCTCCCGTGGCTGAGTGCTGCTCTGATGCCCTGGAGCACTGCTTGCCTGCACCCTTGGGGGTCCCATCCCACCTCCAGCTCCCACGGGGCTCCCTAGACCTGGCAGGACCAGCCCTGGGAAAAGAAGGGAAGGGACAGAAGGGACTGGGAGGGGCTCAGCAGCACCCAGGGGTGCTGCCCCCTCCCCATCCCGCTGACACCTCTCCCTGCACCCATCTTGCAGGTGATGTTACTTGGAGACTCGGGCGTGGGGAAAACCTGCTTCCTGCTCCAGTTCAAAGACGGAGCCTTTCTCTCCGGGACGTTCATAGCCACCGTGGGCATAGATTTCCGGGTGAGACCACCACAACTGCCAGCCCCTTACCTCCCCCAGCCACACCTCGCCAGGACGGGATGCTGGGAAGGGGGAGCAAGGGCTTTCCAGCCTCTGCACCTCAAATAATCCTCCAACCAGCAGCAGGCGCTTGCTGAAACCCTTTCACCTCTGGGAGAGCAATAACTGACAAAAGAGCCCACTAATACTGTCACCTCTTGCCTTTAAATCAGCAAACAGCCCGGGTTTAGCCCAGCCCAGCTGGGTGCATGGGCTGGGGGGGTGTGTTCATGGGGTGTGTGTTCATTGGCAGCACACTCCACGAGCCAGGCTGAGGTCAGCAGCTGGAGGGGACAAACACTGGTTGCTGGAATTTTGTGCCTTGAAAGGGCTGAAATGCGCTGCTGAGTAGTTGTTAAGGTCTCCAGATCCTGTTTAAATCCTCACCAAATTTTAGCTGCAGTGTCTCTGGGGGTGTCTGGGGAAGCAGAGCTGTTTGCAGCACAGGGCAGAGTGGCATTTCAGCAGGGTGGAAGTCATGGGGATGTCCCTGTGGTGGTGAACACGTGTTGAGTGTGGTTGGTGCTTCCTCTGCCCCTACAGCTGTAGCTGCTCTGGCTTTCCACCACCTTTGCTGCTTGTGGTCGAACTGGGGGTTTGCTTTGGGGGGATCTTGAGGCCTGTCCTTCTGATACAATCATGAAAGAAGGAAGATCTGCCACATCCCACTGCTGGGCTCAATGCTGGTGGGCCCAGAGGTGTTGTCAGCCTGTAGATACCTGCTCTGCCTTGTGCAAGTGTTCCCTCCAGCAGCTCATGGCTTGCTGCTGGTAGGTAATCTCCAGAGCATCCCAGGGCACGTTTTTGTTTTATTCAACCCATTTGCTCAAGTTTTATCATCTCCATATGGACTGAATTTCCATTTCAAGCAATTCAAGGCAACCAAATTATTTATGGGGTCTTCTCTTTTCAGACTCATCCCTCCAAGTATAACGCTTTAAGAGTCTTAAAATAGCTCTTCAGTAACTCCTGCTTTTCTTTCTTCTGGCCTCTGGAGAGAAGTCCTTGCACTTGCAAGTTGCATACAGCAACTGCTTAAGCCTCAATAGCTGCCTTCCCTGCTCAGTTGGAAATGCCTGTTCCCTTCCCTGGTCCCAGCCCAGCTGCCTGGCTGCAAATCATCCTGACCCAGGAGATTTCCTCCTGCCATGCTGGATACATGCAACCCCCCAGCTCAGTGTTTGCAACCACGTTTAGGGGCCAAGCAAGGCTCCATCAGCAAGGAAGCCTGAGCAGGACACCTGGTGTCACCCACTGAGTGTCCCTAAGGCAGCTTGTAGCATCCAAAGCCCTAAAATTGCTGCAAATAGCCCAGATTTTTAGCACAGCAGTGGTGGTTCCTCAGCACATGAAACAGAGGAATTCTGGTAGAAGGGTCAGGGCTTTTTGGTGGGCAAACATAAAAGCTCACTAAGGTATTATTAATAAATGCACATTCTTGTGTGGTTCATCCAGACCTCCCTACTTCCCCAGCTATGCTGAACTTCCCTGGCACTCAGGCAGGGGCTGGTGCAAGGCTAAAGTTGGAGCAGGTCAGTGTCCCCAGGATTTTCAGGACAGCAAGCATCATTAGCTGGCTTCTTAGGGGACTCAGGAGCCACAGGACAGGTGTGCTGGCTGTAGGAGATGAGCAAGGCACCAGACCCAAAAAAGGCTGGGATCTTGCTGTCCTGTCTCTGCTGATTCTGCTCTCTTCCAGCTTGGCATGAGGGAATGCTGCTCTGGGATGTCCCTGTGGATGCCAAGCAAGCAGGATCAGGGTTTGCAGCAATGAGGCTTCAATGTTCAGCCTCGTGGGCAGCCTGGCTTCATCCCACCAGCCAGGGGAGAGCAGCTGAAGGGATGGGGAATGCCAGCTCCACTCCAGGGCTGAAAGGTGCATTGGGCTGATGAATGTGCTCTCATTTTCTTCTGCAGAACAAAGTGGTGCTCGTGGATGGTGTGAAAGTGAAGTTGCAGGTGAGATTTAGGTGGGGAGATATAATTTCTGGATGGAAACCTACCCCAGGCCGAGCATGGTGGTCCAGTGAGGCCAGGAGCCACAGGGCTATCCCCAGCTGGGGAGGTTCCTCTCCCCCCTCTCACCAGAGTGGCTTCTCAGCAGATATGGGACACAGCAGGACAGGAGCGATTCCGCAGCGTCACCCATGCCTACTACAGGGATGCCCAAGGTGGGTTTGGGGTCCGGTGGGAATGGGGGGACCATCCAGAACTCATCCCTGCAGCAAGGCAATGCCTCTGCCTCTTCCCCTCCAGCCCTGCTCCTGCTCTATGATATCACCAGCAAGATGTCCTTCGACAACATCCGTGTGAGTCCCTCCATGGGTCAGGAATGTTTCTCCCCAGGGATTGGGGTTGTGGGTGCCCTGCTTGGCTGGGCAGGGATTTGGGGCAGTTGGGAACCTGTTTCACATGTAAGTGCCAGCTGTTTTGGCCAGACTCAACCAGCTAGGAGCTTGTCCTGGGGCACCAGGCTGGGTGCTGCATGGCTGGGTGAGTTTTGTTCAGGGACATGGTAAATGGCTGGAGGGAGAAAATGCAGTTTGGGAAGGATGTGAACTACACATAAGCTTGGGCTGGTAGCCAGGAGGCAGGGCGTTTGCAGAGCTGTTCGGCTGTGATGCTAGAATAGTTCCAGTGCCAAAAAATATGTCATTATCCCCATCCTTACGGGGTGGTGTGAGGGATGAAGGGAGGGGTGTGAGGGCTGAGAGGGGAGGGACAGAGGTACCACTCACCCTGACACAGCCCTGCTGCCCTGCAGGCCTGGCTGACAGAGATCCATGAGTACGCCCAGAAGGATGTAGTCATAATGCTGCTGGGCAATAAGGTAGGTGCAGTATTCCCTTTCACCTGGTGGTTTGCTACACCATACAGTGCCGTGCTGTGCCATGTGGTGCCCTGCCCTTGCCATCCTCATGGCTGTGGAGGGATGGGGGTCGATGGGCACTCTGCCTGCAGCCTCCGCCGGGCTGTGCTGCTCTCTGGGCTCGGCGGAACCCAGAGGTGACCCCAGAGGTTGGGGGGTCAGGAGAAGAGGGCAGTGTTCCCGGCAGCCAGTGGGGGGCAGCACGAGGCAGAGGCTACGGTATGGGATGCTCCCAGTATGGGATGCTGCTGGGCATGGGATGCCTGAATGCACCTCTGGGTCCCAGGTAACCTCAAGCCCCAGATGCTCAATGAGGTCCCAGATTCTCTACAGGGGTCCTAGATGTTGCTGGGTGCCCAATGCCCAACTGAGTGCTGATGTCCTCTGTATCCTGGATGATGGTGGGCTACACAATGCCCAGCAGGGTACCAGAGCCTCCCTGTGTATTGGATGCCCCCAGGTACCAGATGCTTCCCCAGGTCCCCAGTGTCCTCAGGTCCCAGATGCCCTCTGACATCCTTGATGCCACCAGGTCCCAGATGCTCCACAGGTCCTGGATTCTCTGGAGACTGGATGCTCCTGAGCACCCCACACTGCCTGTTTGACAGATGTCCCAGTGTGCCAGATGACCTGGTATGTAGTGACCATTTTCTTCCCTTGGCAGGCTGATGTGAGCAGCGAGAGGGCTGTGAGGACAGAGGATGGAGCATCGCTGGCCAGGGTGAGCTGTGCTGAGGTCTAACCCAACTGCAGCCCCCCAGAAAATTGCATGTCACTCAGGGTCCACACACAGCTGTGCCATCCCCTCTGATGGGTGCCTGGACACACTTGGTTCAAGCATGGGCAGTAACTTGCACACAAAACCTGAATCAGGGCAGGGAGGGGATAGCCCCAAGCCTCTTCTAGGTGACAGGGATAATTTGGAGGGGCAAGAGGGCATTTTGGGGATAGCCAGTGATGGGGCAATGCTGCCCTTGCAGGAGTACGGGGTGCCTTTCATGGAGACAAGCGCCAAGACAGGCATGAACGTGGAACTGGCCTTCCTGGCTATTGCCAAGTGAGTACTTGGGGCCAGGGGACTGAGTAAGCAAACTGTCCCCTGCAGCCCCTCCACCTCCCGCA